CGGGCCCCTCCCTGGTTACCGTCTCCCTTGGAAGCGTTTCTGCACGAGCTGGTACGCGAGAGGCCTGGGGAGAGAGGCCTTACAGCTGCTTCCCCTAGCCTGCTGCCTGCAGCAATAAGGATAGCACATGCCACACCATCCCAGCATCACTGTATACGTTTTATTTAAGTCAATCAGTGAAAAAAAGCAAATTACAAATAGTGTCTGCACAAAATGATTCTGTAATACAAACCATACATTTCAGTAGTAATCTGATCCGATAAGGTATTATCGCTTAGTTATCACAGCTGGCCCAAGTGTCAGCTTTTGGCTGATGACATTTAGTTGGTAACACAAGCTGGTAGTGCTGGAGTCACCCAAACTTTGCTCGCTGCTCTCTGCAAGGAGCAGAAGAGCCATAGCTTTTTCAGGCTGCTGCACTGACTGCCCTTAAGTCAGGGAGTGTTTTTGGCACCTCAGGCCTAATTTTGCCTCCATTATGAGATAGCCCCAAATTTAGCTAAGAAAGCTAAGCCATCCATCCAAGCACTAGTCTCAGCGAAATGCTAGGGGAGTTTCGCCATGTAAAGTATTTGAAACAGTATAAATACTATGGCTTTAACTAAGGCCACAGTCACTCATTTTAACACATACTACAAAGATTTCTGATACTCCCCATTCAGGAAATAGATATATTACCTACAGAGTGTCTAAGATGTTTCTTCGGTCCCCAAGTAGCATTGTGAATATACAAACACTAGTGCAAAAATAAGCCACTTTTCTACAGACCGTTTTGTGAATAGTTTTGGCCATGAGTATCCTGCCCTGATCCTAAAAGTATTTTCACAGTAAAGTTAGGTTTTTTATTTTTCTTCTCTTCTTTGTTTAAAAAAATATTGTTCAGCTGTCCAAATAAATACATTCAGAAACAAAAACCAAGAAGTTGAATTCTTATATAGCCTTGCCTTTACTAAAGGAGGTGATATTTCTCTTTTAAATTGTATAGACCTGCTAATAGCTAGTAAGAATTACTTTAAAGGTTTGTGCTTTAGAGATAAATTTGGGGATTTTTAAGCTACCTGGGTTTTGTTCTAATTACAACGTAACATTTGCATCCTGAATCTCCAGCTTCTGATCTTGCACGGCACTGGATATTCTGCGGTAGGACTGCAGCGTAGAGACATGGGTATCAATACCAGCAGGGTAACAAAATGGGGTTAGCGGAGGTACTGTTCAACTAAAGCCAAATGCAGTTAGCTCTGACTGCTGGAGATCCACACGATGAGGGCAGACAGTGCAAAAGGAAACCTTTGGACAGCGCTTTCTTCCATGGTTATGACCTGGAGTGGCTTTGGCAAAAAGGAAGGGTACAAAGCATGGGAAACGCCAATACACACATCAAAGCAGGCTGCCATTCTGGACTTCTGGGCAGCCAGTTTTAGTGCAGATTCAAGCACCAGAAATGACTCTGCAAGGCCTCTTCAGCCGGAATTTAGAGAGGCTGGCTGTGAAGATGTTTTGAGCAGAGTGAGTATGCTGGAGTTTGTCTTGTAAGGAGTGAATAGCTAAACCGTTCAATCGGAAGTGGTGGTGTGTGCAGCGGACATGTGACTTGCACTCAAACAACAAGGAGTAATATGAGTTGCAGAACAAAGTTAGTGAGACCTGAGCATCAGCATAACGACAGTTAATTGGAGAGAAAAGATCCTTTAGAGCAAACCACAATTCAGTAGCATAAATGAAGGGTTTGTAACTTCCTGGAAAGCCCTTGAAATGATCTGGAAAGAAAAGACCCTGGAAGGAGAATTGTATCAACAGAGGACCTTGTTAAACAGGCCTCCAGCGCTGGCACCATTTCAGCAAGACCCTCTCAAGAAATCAAGTCATTTTGGAAGAAGCTGTTTTTTTCTACCCAAATGGTGGGAGAAATAAGGCACGAACTAAAAATTAATTAGGATGAAAAGCAATCCCTGGCATGGGAAAGATAATCTTAGCTTTTTCTTTTTTCTTTTTTTTTTTTAATATTATGATTTTAAGTTAATCACTGCCATGATATTTTAGCTTTTTAGTCAGTCCTGCAATCAGTTGTCAGCATCTGTTGACATCATTACCAAAGAATTCCACAAGGAACTAATCCAAAATTTAGTGGCAGGTGTTACTATTTTAAAACAAGCAATGAAGAGAGAAGTAAGAGTTCTGCATAACTGCATTTAACTGCACTATCCAGCAGAACTTGAATACCCTGAGTGTCAACTGCCAGTCCAAGACGTGATAGGAACAGATGAGTCCCTGCTGATTACATCACTAGTACAAGGGAGTGCTGGCACTGCTGCTCTCCCCTAGAGGACAGTAAAAGTACTCTTCATTTTCTCACTCTACAGGTAGTTTTTGTTGGAAAGAAGCATTGACTGTGGCAAAAGACCACTATCTAAGGCGAAGGTACAAAAGACTCGTTACAAATAGATACTCCGGGCTTCATAGAGATAGAAGACACTTCCAAAACGTATATGGCTGTAAATTGGAGAGTTCTGGGCTGAAGTAGCCTGATTCAGACTCAAAGCCAGAATCATTTTTCATTTTGATGTCAAAGTTTATCATCCAGAGGTTGCCATCATTTCCCCATATGGGAATCAGTCTGCCATTTCTGATGGTGCAGACTGGCTTGCTAAGTTAAGTCACATATACTGCAAGCAAGAGAGTACCTACCGCTCTCTTCAGACACTTGTTTCTTGATATCAAGACCAATTCAGGCTGGCAAATTTGTACTAAAATGCAGCCTATTTGTTATCATTGTTTCACTTCTCCTCAGGATGCCTAGTTACAATAGACTAATCCAAACAACCCCTTTTCTGTTTGGATTTACACCCCTAGTTGAGCTGTCACTTGGTTATTTCATATTTCAGCCCTTTTCTCAGTCAGTCCCTCCAATTCTCTAGTCATTTTGGTGGCTCAAGCTCAGTCCTCTGCAACTCAGCAGCAGCTTTCAGGTACTGTAGTGCTCATCCCAAATGCAAGCGCAGGAACTCCTGAATCTTTCCCCAGGAGTGTTCCTGTGCATGGGCATGTGCTTTGCTCTCTCCACCCCCCAGGATAGGTACCCCCAGAACACGATCCACAGCTACCTGACAAAACGGAGTAGAAGGAGGATCGATTCGGTGGCCTGCTCCTGGATAACTCAAGAGTTCAAAGTTTTCTTTCCCATGCTGGCGCAGACGCCCAATTGCCAACTCAGCATATAAGGAGCTCTTCCACATACGATCATCTTCCCCTACCACTAAGAGAAAGTGACCTTCGGCTTTTTCTATGGGAATTGTGCAAGGGGAATTAGCAGGATTCATTGGGTCATCCAAAGCTTCAAAAGTGTCAAATACACCAGTGTCAGAAACACTGACCTTATTCATATTAAAACGCAGCCCAGGCAGAGTCATCTCACCATAATGGAGGTCTGCAACTGTGTTCGAACTACAGCCGGAGATACAGACAGCAGCCACTACTTCTGGCAGGAAGGTGATCATGGAGAGTGCTAATTCTGCCCCTTTCCCAGTCCCAATCACTCCAACTCCTGGCCCCTTCACCTTCAGATAAGGCAGTGGTGGGGGGGGAGGGGGGGAAACAGAGGGAGAAAGGAATACAGAAAGTATGCATTATAATAGGATTAGCCATTAAATGTCTCTGGAGTTGTGTTATACAGAAAAGGTTACGTTAATCATTGACGTGACCAGTTGGAAGGCTACAGCCTGGAACCAAGCTCCTTCCTCTGTTATTTTTCAGGGACAACAACAGATGTCAAATCCCTTAAAATAACACAGACATGGTATTTATGCTAAGCACAAAAGATACAATCGCTTTGACCTCACCTGGCCTCAACTGCATATTTTGATCCAAATATTTTCCTCTTTTTCCAAGAGCAGGTAGCAGGAATTTCAAGTACAGTCTATTACTTTACTTGCCTGAGATGTATATAGCAATCTTACAAATGACATGTGAGAATCAGGTGAGTATTATTTAGCCTTGTCCTTTTCCAGTCTGGAAAGTAAAACTGAAAATAACTTCCTAAGTCATCAAATCCATTCCCTTGCTGATTATTAAGCAGTTTTCTACCATCCTTTCATAAGCTCATCACTTTCCATTTTAAAGCAGTATAGCTTTATCACCATTGCTCCTGTTTGGAGGCTGTTCCAGCACTTCACTGTTCTAAAGATCAGGAATTTTCTAGTTTCCAGCATAAATTTATTTAACTTTCAGTTTTATATCTGCTTGTGCTGGAAGAAAGAACTTCACTCTCTGCAGTCACAAGCACAGTTCCCTGTGCAAAACCTATGCTTTTTCCACTACTAAACCTGCTCAACAGAAACTGACACTCCAAAGAAATCACTGCTGCTACTGGGGCTTGCCTGCTGAGTCCTCTCCAGTTCCTTGTCCAGAGAAACCTCGCATTACACTCACCTTCGGGTGACGCAGTAGAAATCTAGCTGCCTCCTCAAAGTACTCGAGTTTGAATTCTTTCATGACCTTAGGCAGATCTTCAAAGTCAAAGTAAGGCAGAGAAAGAGCAGCAAAACCACGGGTGGCCAGGAGGCTGGATCTAAATTCAATTAAACCCCCTTCATCACCATACATGTCGATCACTCCTGGAAAGGGGCCATCCCCTATATTAAATAAAACGGTAGAGAGGACAATAAAGTTATCAAATAGGACACTACAAGGTATCTAATGAAGAGTGAACAGGAAAATATAGCAGGCATAATACATTTTTTATTACTACTCATTACTTTTCCTCTTCTACAGTGGAGGATACAGAATTAGTGCTATAACCTACTTTAGCTATTTCAAACTAGGAATAGCTCCTTACCCTCCTGTAAAATATATAAACAATTAGTAGACTGTTTTTTTTTTTTTTAACTGTTTTAAATGTATTTTTCTATAGTCTTAACTTCCCATCCTGGAAACAATTTTACTCTAAATCAGTTGGTTTCCCACAAACAAGTCATACCTTAATTAGCAAAGTGCAAGCATGTTACTAAAGAGGCAACTGCATTGTCCATCCCCATAGAAATAAATTTTACAAGACAGACAAACTCTGGAAAAAAGTGCATTGAGAAAAACACAGCAAAGAGACACCGGGATGAAATCAGCTAGACTTACTATCTATCTCAGCATCAGCAGTGCAACAGTTGGCAGCAGAACTGCTACTGCAGGTGTGAAGAGAGGGTAAAACTGAGTGCTCCGTGTGTGTATGAGCCTGTGGCTGATACATAGTTACACACACATATACATGTATATGAACAGTTCCATAGAACTGCAGAAATATTCAAAATCATAACTTTAAGTGGGCATGCTCTTGCAGCCGAAGTCTTGCTGTGATATTTCTGTCTGCCATGATAGCACACTTTGGGCTAAAGGGTTGGGAATACTATCCTTACAACTATAAAGATCCCAATTTTTTTCCTTTTTTGATTGGCCACCAGATGTCACCACTGACTCATTCAGATCCAGATCACTGCAACTATCCAGCAGAAAAGTGCAAAAGTTCATTAACACTAAGTCTAAGTTACCTATGTGCAATAATTGAAGAGAAGACCTCTGGCATTTCAAGGTACTTGAGAAAACAAAGTTTCGGACAATATGCACTAGATGGTGGAAACCTCATAACTTAAAACATTAGGAGGTTAGAAAAGTACAGAAATATATATTTTCTTTCCTCTTTCCCTTCCTCTTTGAGCTCTAAAATTTTTCTCACAAGTTTAATATTCTGCTAGGAAGAAAATCAGTCTGGATACATTTCTTATCATGATGCCATGATCAAGATAAACGTTTAGTTAACAACAGTCAGCCTAGATGGCTAGAAAAGAAAGGTATTCGCTTATTTATCACACCTACACGGAAAGTTCTCTAGAAAAAAACATATCATCAGAACACAGTCAAATGAAAATGTGTTTTTATCTCTCATGAAGTATAAGCTTTAACTTAGACCAGGATCCTGGACTGCCTTCCTGAGTGCCTACTCATGCCCAAGTTTACAGTTTCTGCATAGTACACTAAGAAGCAAGATAAACAGGGCTAGACACCTTTGCTACTGCTTAAAAACATCTAAAACCTATAACCCTTATGTCTGAAATGAGCAACCTCTGTTATATTGCAAATATAATTTAAGCCATTCATGTCATCTCGTTTTGACTAAGTGTAGTTCACCTGTAAGAGTCCTACCTTCACAATATTAACATTTTTCTCTCCCTGAAGCAAGCAAAGATATGGTGGTAATGTTTTAACGGGATACTCCACTGAGAAGGATTTTAGTGTCATTTAAGCAACAACTCCAGACTTTTCCACAGTACAGTGGAACACAGTTACAACCCTGGACTTTCTAAAGGGACAAATGCAGCTCCAGGTTGCAGATCGCTGGATTCCCACTGAGCTTAGCAGAAACGCAGCTCGTTCTCTAAGGCGGAATCCATCAAAACCACCGGGTCTCAGTGTTGGAGAATCCAGAATGCTGACTAAACTTTTCATCCAAAATACAAAGTTCATTATCAGTTGTTTTTTCCTTCATTGGACTTTGGATCCATGTCTAAATGGATAAAAAGATCATTGATTTGAAAATCATTCACTGAAGAGATCCATAAAAACTAGTAGCGCTTGCATGCTCTGCTGTACCAAGTCATTATAAATAAGAGACAACATAAGGATAGTTCTAACAGGATAACACTCAGAAATTTAAATCATGGCTTGAATGTTCAAATACCATGACACAGTGTAAGGTTTCATTCTCCAGCAAGCACAGTAACAAAACTATTAACTTAGTTTTGGCTCTAGTATGAGAGAGAGAGGGTGGCGTACTTATGTTTTCTATAGCCTCCTTCCACCGCCGTTTATTGGCATGTGCTTCACGGGGAGGAAAAACACCCTTTAAAGTCGGTCCTACTCAGGATAAAATCCGCAGGAGATTGTCCACAAGCTTCTGTGACGAACGTGTATCAGCTTTTCTGAATATAAATTATTCTAGCAGCCCAGAACAAACGTCAAATCCACCAAAAGCCCTAGACAGGGAGCAGCAACGTGGTAAATCCAACAGCCTCTGTTCTCATTTAGCTTCTGCCT